TGAATCTGTGTTTATGTTTTGGAGTGCTATTGGTGACAAAGATGAGAAAGTTTTGGAGTGGAGGGATAGTATAAAACATGGTTGTAATCCACAAAATGATAGCAATCTTTGGCCTCCTCAAACAAGGTAACGTTTTGGGGTTTTCTACTCTGTGTAATCAATAGGTCACGGGTTTTCAAGTAGTATTACTTTTTGGGAGGTGCTTGCGTTTTTGAACTATCACCAACTATTTATCAAAACATATTTAAAAACTAACTAGATTAAGTGGTTGAATACAAAATTATCTCAAGATTTTATAATGGTGCTAATAACTTAAATCAAAAGTATATCGTATATGTAGGAGAAAAGTTATCTTTTATACGATTACATATCTAGTAAAATCTCACAAGTAGAGTATGGAGAGGGTAGGATATATGCAGATTTTACCTCTGACTTAGCAGCATAAGGAGGTTGTTATTTTATAGACTCTCGAAACATTCTTAGTGAAATTCTTAACTTTGACATTGAATCTTGAACGTTATTAGAGAAAAATTTGACCTTCCCATTAAACTTTGAATGCTCTTGATAAAATTCCTGAGTTTGTTATTGATTTATAGGAACCAAGTTTTGGAGTATCAAAAGTGGGCTAAACCACTTGCTAAAAAATTGCTTGAGGTGCTATTGAAGGATCTCAATGACAATGAAATCGACGAATCTTTAGAACCTCTCTTGATGGGAACTATGTCTATAAACATCAACTACTATCCACCATGCCCAAATCCAAGTATCGCCATTGGTTTTCGTAGACACTGCGACATGGGCTGCATAACTTTGCTCCTCCAGGACGACACAGGAGGCCTATATATCCGAGGGACTAAAGGCAACTGGATTCACGTAAATCCTATCAAAGGTGCCTTAGCGGTTAATATAGGTGACTCATTGCAGATCATGAGCAATGATCGATACAAGAGTATCGAGCATTGTGTAGCAGTTGATTCGAGCAGGGCTCGAATATCTGTACCGCTATTAGTGAATCCTAGTTTTGATAGTGTCATTGGTTCATTCCCACAAATGCTAAAAGATGGAGAAAAACCAGTGTACAAACATATTTTGTTCTCTGATTATTGGGATCATTGCTTCATTAAGAGGCCTTCTGGTAAAGCATCACTAGATTTTGCAAAAAATTGATGCTTTAATTTTCAAATTTCTTGTATGTTAATGTTTTTGTATTATAAATCTGTTATTGTAATGACGATAACTGTTATTTTATGTAACTTGCAATTTGGTGTGATCTTGTCCGTTATTTATTTATTTTTTCTTTATCTTGCCCTTTCTTATTTTAAGAACAATGTTGGGAGTAGGTGTTATGATCAAGCAGGGGCGTTGATCGATGATGACTCGATAAACTTTAGCTTGGGATCGACGTCTTTCTCCTTCTCTGATCTCAATAGTTTGATGGTAGTTGGCTGCGATGACTTAGCTCTCATTCTCGGCTATGAAAGGAGGAACTTTACTGGTGGATGCATTTCACTATGCGCGAAAAAAGAGGATATAATTGAAGGATATTGCTCAGGAATTGGATGTTGCCAGACTTCAATCCCAACAGGTTTGAAGAGTTTTGTGAGTCTAACAAGGAGTTTGAATAACCATACAAATGTGTCTTCTTTTAACCCTTGTGGCTACGTGTTTCTTGGTGAGCCTGATAAGTTCATTTTCAAGAGCTCGGATTTGTCAAATTCAAGTTTCAGGAACAAGGTTATAGAGGAAGTCCCTGTGGTGATTGATTGGGTTATTGGCAATGGTAGTTGTTCTGTGGCTAAGAAATCAGCAGATTATGCTTGTGGAGAAAATAGTGTTTGTGTAGATTCTAAGACAGGCCTCGGAGGTTATCGTTGCAGCTGCAAACTGGGATACCAGGGGAACCCTTATATCAGTCCAGGTTGCATAGGTAAGACTGAATTCATGATTTGAACTTTTTGTGTTCGAGTTTGAAATTGTCGTAACTTGGTTAGGAATCTACGATTTGTGCTTGTTTAGTAAGGTTTGAGCCAAAGTTACTGTGTTCGAATGATGTTATATGTGTTGGTTAATGTTGCATTTGAGCCGAGGGTCTATCAGAAACAACCTCTTTACGTTCTGATGTTTGATTAATTGACAGATATAAATGAATGCGAGAACGAGAATCCTTGTGATGGGATATGCAATAACTTTCCTGGAGGCTACAGCTGTACTTGTCCACATGGTCAGATTGGTGATGGCAAAAAGGACGGCCACGGTTGCATCCCTAAGAACTCTAAGTCACCCATCCTTCAACTCTCACTCGGTACGTCTACTCTGTGTCCAGTCAAACACCTTCATATAAAATGAAAATGGTTAAGAGTATACTAAATTTGCACTTTCATTGCAGGTTTGTGCTTTGGCTTTCTGGCTTTGGTCATCAGTGCAACTTGGATATACTTAGGCATCAAAAGAAGACGACTCATAAGACTCAGGGAAACGTTTTTTCAGAAAAATGGTGGATTGATGCTCATGCAGAAACTCTGATCAAATGAGGGTGGTATGGAGTATGCAGCTAAGATATTTACAGCAGCAGAACTCAAGAAATCCACCAACAACTATGCTGAGGATCGTATCCTAGGCCGAGGTGGTTATGGTACCGTTTACAAAGGTGTCCTTCTGGACAAACGTGTAGTTGCAATTAAAAAGTCTAGAACAATGGACGTCAGCCAAATAGAATTGTTCATCAATGAAGTGATCATTCTTTCAGAAGTCAATCATCGAAACGTGGTGAAACTCTTGGGGTGTTGTTTGGAGTCTGAAGTGCCTCTACTAGTCTATGAATACATTTCCAAAGGTACACTCTATTACCATATTCATGATGGTGGAGATCAAACGCGTTGGTTTTCATGGGAAAATCGATTAAGAATAGCATCTGAAGCCGCTGGTGCACTTGCGTATCTTCATTCTGCAGCTTCTACACCTGTAATTCATCGAGATGTGAAGTCTACAAACATTCTACTCGATGAGAATTACACTGCAAAAATATCAGATTTCGGGGCTTCTAGATTAGTGTCATTGGATCAAACTCAAGTGACTACATTGGTTCAAGGAACTTTAGGTTACTTAGATCCTGAATACTTCCACACAAGTCAATTGACAGAAAAGAGTGACGTTTATAGTTTTGGCGTGGTTCTTGCAGAGCTCTTAACAGGGCGAATGCCACTAGATACTACAGCATCCGAACAAGAGAGAAATCTAGCTGCATTTTTCGTTAGGTCTATTAAGGAAAATCGATTGTTTCAAGTACTTGAGACACGTGTGCTACGAGAAGGAAGTTTTGAGCAATGTCAAGGTGTTGCTGAGCTCGCGAAGAGATGTTTAAGGTTAACGAGTGAAGAAAGGCCTACGATGAAAGAAGTAGCCATGGAGCTAGAAGGACTAAGGAAGTTCACAAAACATCCATGGTCTAAAACTCAACAATGTCAAGATGAGGAGAGTCTTGGACTAATAACAGAACAAACGTTGGACCTTTACGCAATCAATATGAACACGAACATCATGTCTAACGGAGAATTTTCAGGACAACAGAGCTTGGATAGTCGGATGATGTTACAAATTCATAGTACCCAGTGATCGATTACTTGTGTATGGCCTGCATTTGTGTGTCCTAACTTGTATGTTACATTCATGAAAATATGATTCGTCAAATCCGTCTAAGTTTGGCCTAGTCATTGGTTCTAGTAATATGATTCATCAAATCCGTCCAAGTTTGGCCTAGTCATTGGTTCGTCTATTTACTACCTCAACTCATTTCAACTCATTAAAAGACTAGGCTGATATGTTGCAGAATGTAGTTCCCCTTATTATTTTGTTGTTTATAATTTAACTTGTATAAATTAGTGTATAATTCCCCATTTCTTGAATTTTGAGCATTTGGCATAGTTGATTTTTTTTTGTATAAATTAACTTTTGACATTATCAAACACATTTATTTAGAGAGAGGCAAATACGTGCATTTTCTAGCAAATGAAGGACACTAAACATTTGAATTTTTTAAGTGGTAGTGCTTTTTAAAGCTTTTTCCTACTTAGTAAAAAATATAATCCACATTTAATATATGTCTCCATCAAATTTATAGCTATAAAAGTTATACTATGAAAAGTAAATAAGAAAATTAAATTATATCTGTTTTTACTGATAATTTTTATGGATATAATATATAAAATTCATCATTCATAACAACCGACAAAAAAGTTATGGATGTTATCTACAAACCACAATTCATCTATGGACATCAAGAAGCCACCTCACCAATGTCCAAATAGCTATTTTATGATAATGATGTTTGATTAAATAAAAAATAAAAATTCAAAATACTAAATAAAAAATCAATTCAAGAATTTTGTTTAGGTCATTAATGTATCATCCACATACCCCATCCCTACTCCCTTCAAATAATAGATTAATCATTCGATATTTGATATTCATATTGAATTTGCATCGAAAAGTCTTATATTGAAAAGTAAAATAATCTCTAATAAGAACAATATTGTATTTGGAAAAATTCGAATACAATACATTTGATTAAAAATGAAAAATATTTACCACTTCACCATAATCTCCCGTTGCTAGATGAAAGTATGATTCAATCTTCCATCATTTCATAGCCAGCCCCCTTTTGCCCCACCCTCCCTTGAAATAATAGAAGAAGGAATAATTTTATTTTTTTATCATCGGAGGTTTGATATTCATATTGAGTCCAATGAAATTTGAATTCGCACCAAAAAGTCTCATATTAAGAGGATGTTTTTTAAACAAGTCAATTCTGTATTCAGGAAATTTGAATCTAAAACATCTAATTAAAGACGAAAAAGTATTTACCACTTTATAATAATTCATCGATGTTAAAGTAATGATTCAATCTTTCCTCATTTCATAGTCCACTCCCCTTCTTTCCTCTCCCCCCATACACACCCCTCTCAAACCCACCGCTAAAAACACCCAAAATTTCTTTCTTTCATTAGTACACACTCATCAAGATTCAACACAAATGCCTTCATCAAAATTTGAACCAAATGATGACATACTTGATTTTGTAATCAAGAAAGCAAATGGACTAAAAGGCCTAGTAGACACAGGCCTTGAAAACATCCCAAATCAATGTATTCAACCAAAAGACCAAAGACTAGAAAAATCTCAAATTAACAATCAAGAATCAATCCCAACAATTGATTTATCAAATTTTGATAATTTAAGTGTTGAAAAATCAATTCAAGATGCCGCAAGCAAGTGGGGTTTCTTCCAAATCATCAATCATGGCATCCCAATTGAAGTTCTTGATGATTTAAAGGAAGCAGGACACAAATTCTTTGAATTACCATCTGAAGAAAAAGTTCAGTATAACAAAGAGAGCTATAATACTGATGAATCTGTGTTGATGTTTTGGAGTGCTATTGGTGAGAAAGATGAAAAAGTTTTGGAGTGGAGAGATGGTATAAGACATGGTTGTAATCCACAAAATGATAGCAATCTTTGGCCTCCTCAAACAAGGTAACTTTTTGGGGTTTTCTGCTTCATGTAATTTATAGGTCACGAGTTTCCAAGTATTACTTTTGCGAGTTTCATATCTTTTACTATAAAGTGTTTGTGTTTCTGAACTATCACCAACTATTTATCAAAATACATTCCAAAACTGACTAGATCAAGTGTTTGAATACAATGCGTCACAACTTAATTTTGTCCAAATGGCAAAGTAATTTTGATGATAGTCCATTTAGGAAAGGAAACTCGTGAAAACGTGATACTTCAGATGTGTTTTTTATCATCATCTCAAGACTCTTTTTATAACGGTGTATATATATCTTTTTTACAATTACATATCCACTATAATCTCACAAGTAGAGTATGGAGAGGGTAAGATATACGTAGACTTTACCTCTATCTTTGCTACATAAAGAGGTTGTTTTTATAGACTCTCGAAACATTCTTAGTAAAATTTAGGACTTTGACATTGAATCTTTAACATTATTAGCAAAATTCTTGACCTTGCCATTAAATTTTGAACACTCTTAGTGAAATTTCTGACTTTGATACTATTTTACAGGAATCAAGTCTTGGAGTATCAAAAGTGGGCTACACCACTTGCTAAAAAATTGCTTGAGGTGCTATTGAAGGGTCTCAATGTCAATGAAATTGATGAATCTTTAGAACCTCTCTTGATGGGAACTATGGCTATCAATATAAACTACTATCCACCTTGCCCAAATCCAAATATCGCCATTGGTTTTCGTAGACACTGCGACATGTCCTGCATAACTCTGCTCCTCCAGGACGACACGGGAGGCCTATATGTCCAAGGGACTAAAGGTGATAACTGGATTCACGTAAATCCTATCAAAGGTGCCTTGGCGGTTAACATAGGTAACTCGTTGCAAATCATGAGCAACGATCGATACAAGAGTATCGAACATTGTGTAGCAGTTGATTCTAGCAGGGCTCGAATATCTGTACCGCTATTTGTGAATCCTAGCCCTGATAGTGTCATTGGTCCATTCCCCCAAATACTCAAAGATGGAGAAAAATCAATGTACAAACATGTTTTGTTCTCTGATTATTGGGATCATTACTTCAGTAAGAGGCCCTCTGGTAAAGCATCACTAGATTTTGCTAAAATTTGATGTTTTAATTCACAAATGTCTTTGTTATGCAATGACAAAAAGTATTTCTTTATGTAACCGGTGAGTTTGTGTGATTGTATTGTTATCTTATTTTGTTCTAATGATTTCATTATCTTATTTTGCCCTTCATCCTACTTTTTGTTTATAATAACTTTCCCCCATATTTTTTTTTCAATGTAATAATGTCAGGGGTGGACCCACATGTTGAACCCACTCGGTTGGAAAATTTATTATTTATATAAGGAGAATTAATGTTAAATTAGAATAATTATATATTTAAACCACAATGAACAAAGTGTGGCATGTTACTGCTTTTGGTTCAATATCACAGTGTATTCATATTCAGTTGCCAAATTGGCCTATAAAAAAAATTGACCAATCATATTCAATATGCTAGTCACTAATAAATTTATCACCTATATATTTTATTTTATTTTTAAATTTCATGTTGTATATTTTGTTTTCTTATTCAAATTCGATAAAAAAATCTTAAATCTATTATACTTCTAAAAACATTTAATCATTTATAATTGAATTTTCGTAGTCTCTTTCTTAGTTTTTTGCTATAATTTGTTATTTTGATGAGATTATATATAGTTTCTTAGTTAACTCTAATTTTGTTTTTTTTTTCTTAGTTAACTCTAATTTTGTTTTTTTAAAAATGTAAATAGCTTTTTTTTTTAAAAAAATTCCTCAACCCTGTTAAAGAAAAAAGTGCCGAGTTTTTTTTTTATAAAACTATATATCTTATTTTGATATTATATTATTAACAAAAAAGAACAAATAAAACCACAACGAACAAATCATTTGTTGTGCTCGACACCGACGATCACCCTATGATTGAACCCATTTATATAAAATCTTGGGTCTGTCACAAAATAATGTAAGTTCATTCATTGAATTGTTGGTGTGTAACACTATGACAATTTTAAATTTGAACTCTATAACTTAAAAAAAGTACTTTCTTAAAAGCGGATACCGAATATAGAATAAGAAAAAACATGTACTCGTAATGGGTAGTAATTATCTCCGCCTTCAATAAGAGATCTCGAATTTAGAAATAAATTTACTTTCAGTTTTGAAGAGGATACTGAATACAAAATGAGGGGGGGGGGGGGGGGGGCGGACACCTACTTAAATGCTGCTTATCATTTTCTAAGATCGTGACCGGTAGTAACTATCTCCATCATCAACTATAGATTTCGAGTTTGGAATGAATTTACTGTCACTCCTAAGACTGGAATTAATATAGGGTGATGAAACCCCCCAATCATCAAAGATTGTGATAGGTAGTCTCTCAATACGAAAACTAGTATCAAATGTCGAGTTTTGACTATCAAATACTACGTAAATTTTACTAAAGTTCACCCTAACAACAAAAACTTATTCATGAAAATATGATCCATCAAATCCATCCAAGTTTAACTTGATCATTGATCCATTTATTTACTAGCTCAACTCGTTAATAAACAGTGTTGATATATTTTAAAATGTAGTCCGACCTTTTACCCATTATAAATTAGGGTATAATTTCACATTTCTTGAATTTTGAGCATTTGGTGAAATTTAACTATTTCACATTTGACACTATCTAATACGTTTGGAGAGAGACAAATTAATGGACTGATTTTCTAGCAAACGAAGAACACGAGCATGAAGAAGATTTAGTAATGTATAAGGAAATGCACTCAAGCATATGAAATTTTTTCTTCTAACAGATTTAAGTGGTACTGCTTTTATAAGACTTTCAAAAACTTTTTCCTTCTTATTCCAAAAAATAATAATACACATTCGGTATATATCCCAAGCAAATCTTCTCAATTGTCATAATAATATATAGCTATAAAATTATAATATTAAAAGCAAAATAAAGTATTAAATTATAATATTACTATTTTTACTGATATTTTTTTATGGATATAATAGAGAATACGGATTTCAAAAAGATGTGAATGTTATTCAAACCAATCACAATTCATTTATATGATACCAAAAAGCCACCTCATCGATTTTCAAATAGCTATTTCTAGAAGATAAATTTTATGATATTGGTGTTTGATTCAAACTGAGTTCAAATAAATTTGAATTTAAATCGGAAAGTCTCAAACTGAGAGGTAAAACACTCTAATAGAGACGAATCTATATTCAGAAAAAATTGAATCCAAAATATTAGATTAAAAATGAGAGGTAAAACACTCTAATAGAGACGATTAATATGAACGCGAACATCATGTCTAACGCAGAATTCTCAGGACAACAGATCTTGGATAGTCGGATGATGTTACAAATTCATAGTACCCAGTGATCGATTACTTGTGTATGGCCTGCATTTGTGTGTCCTAACTTGTATGTTACATTCATGAAAATATGATTCGTCAAATCCGTCTAAGTTTGGCCTAGTCATTGGTTCTAGTAATATGATTCATCAAATCCGTTCAAGTTTGGCCTAGTCATTGGTTCGTCTATTTACTACCTCAACTCATTTCAACTCATTAAAAGACTAGGTTGATATGTTGCGGAATGTAGTTCCCCTTATTAATTTGTTATTTATAATTTAACTTGTATAAATTAGTGTATAATTCTACATTTCTTGAATTTTGAGCATTTGGCATAGTTGATTTTTTTTTGTATAAATTAACTTTTGACATTATCAAACACATTTATTTAGAGAGAGGCAAATACGTGCATTTTCTAACAAATGAAGGACACTAAACATTTGAATTTTTTAAGTGGTAATGCTTTTAAAAGAATTTTTAAAGCTTTTTCCTACTTAGTAAAAAATATAATCCACATTTAATATATGTCTCCATCAAATTTATAGCTATAAAAGTTATACTATGAAAAGTAAATAAGAAAATTAAATTATATCTGTTTTTACTGATAATTTTTATGGATATAATATACAAAATTCATCATTCATAACAACCGACAAAAAGGTTATGGATGTTATCTACAAACCACAATTCATCTATGGACATCAAGAAGCCACCTCACCAATGTCCAAATAGCTATTTTATGATAATGATGTTTGATTAAATAAAAAATAAAAATTCAAAATACTAAATAAAAAATCAATTCAAGAATTTTGTTTAGGTCATTAATATATCATGCACATACCCCATCCCTACTCCCTTCAAATAATAGATTAATCATTCGATATTTGATATTCATATTGAATCCAACTAAAATTGAATTTGCACCGAAAAGTTTTATATTGAAAAGTAAAATAATCTCTAATAAGAACAATATTGTATTTGGAAAAATTCGAATACAAGACATTTGATTAAAAATGAAAAATATTTACCACTTCACCATAATCTCCCATTGCTAGATGAAAGTATGATTCAATCTTCCATCATTTCATAGCCAGCCCCCTTTTGCCCCACCCTCCCTTGAAATAATAGAAGAAGGAATAATATTTTTTTTTATCATCCGAGGTTTGATATTCATATTGAGTCCAATGAAATTTGAATTCGCACCAAAAAGTCTCATATTCAGAGGATGTTTTTTAAACAAGTCAATTCTGTATTCAGGAAATTTGAATCTAAAACATCTAATTAAAGACGAAAAAGTATTTACCACTTTATAATAATCCATCGATGTTAAAGTAATGATTCAATCTTTCCTCATTTCATAGTCCACTCCCCTTCTTTCCTCTCCCCCCATACACACCCCTCTCAAACCCACCGCTAAAAAACCCCCCAAATTTCTTTCTTTCATTAGTACACACTCATCAAGATTCAACACAAATGCCTTCATCAAAATTTGAACCAAATGATGACATACTTGATTTTGTAATCAAGAAAGCAAATGGACTAAAAGGCCTAGTAGACACAGGCCTTGAAAACATCCCAAATCAATGTATTCAACCAAAAGACCAAAGACTAGAAAAATCTCAAATTAACAATCAAGAATCAATCCCAACAATTGATTTATCAAATTTTGATAATTTAAGTGTTGAAAAATCAATTCAAGATGCCGCAAGCAAGTGGGGTTTCTTCCAAATCATCAATCATGGCATCCCAATTGAAGTTCTTGATGATTTAAAGGAAGCAGGACACAAATTCTTTGAATTGCCATCTGAAGAAAAAGTTAAGTATAACAAAGAGAGCTAAATGCTGGTGAATCTGTGTTGATGTTTTGGAGTGCTATTGGTGAGAAAGATGAAAAAGTTTTGGAGTGGAGGGATGGTATAAGACATGGTTGTAATCCACAAAATGATAGCAATCTTTGGCCTCCTCAAACAAGGTAACTTTTTGGGGTTTTCTGCTTCATGTAATTTATAGGTCACGAGTTTCCAAGTATTACTTTTGCGAGTTTCATATCTTTTACTATAAAGTGTTTGTGTTTCTGAACTATCACCAACTATTTATCAAAATACATTCCAAAACTGACTAGATCAAGTGTTTGTATACAATGCGTCACAGCTTAATTTGCCCATAGAATTTTGGCCAAATGGCAAAGTAATTTTGATGATAGTCCATTTAGGAAAGGAAACTCGTGAAAACGTGATACTTCAGATGTGTTTTTTATCATCATCTCAAGACTTTTTTTATAACGGTATATATATATATATCTTTTTTACAATTACATATCCACTATAATCTCACAAGTAGAGTATGGAGAGGGTAGGATATACGTAGACTTTACCTCTATCTTTGCTACATAAAGAGGTTGTTTTTATAGACTCTCGAAACATTCTTAGTAAAATTTATGACTTTGACATTGAATCTTGAACATTATTAGCAAAATTCTTGACCTTGCCATTAAATTTTGAACACTCTTGGTGAAATTTCTGACTTTGATATTGTTTTACAGGAATCAAGTCTTGGAGTATCAAAAGTGGGCTACACCACTTGCTAAAAAATTGCTTGAGGTGCTATTGAAGGGTCTCAATGTCAATGAAATTGATGAATCTTTAGAACCTCTCTTGATGGGAACTATGGCTATCAATATAAACTACTATCCACCTTGCCCAAATCCAAATATCGCCATTGGTTTTC